TGGAATTGTTATACGACAATCAAGTTCCATTTGGAAGCAAGCAAACAAAATAATATAATTTACAAAAATACCTTACAATGACTGTGAGTATGATCAACTACATAGGTCAGTTAAACTAGTAGATCAGGCGTACTGAAATTATCAGAACATAAGAATTTAGCTAAACTTAGAATGATTGATCCCACCGATGAAGATAAGTAATTTAGAAAAATACTCGGCACTACACTGCACTGCATGCATTAACACACAACCACACAATAGAGTGGATGGGACAGAGTCGAAATTCTAAAGAATAATATAGGTAGGTGGAGAGAGAGAGATTGATTACTGAATCCTGGTTCATCAAGTCTACACCCAACACATGCACCAGAAATGACTCAACGCAAGTACCAGAGATGTGGGAGATATTATTACCACCAGTCAGCTAAATCAGAGGAGGATAATAAATAATGTTAAAATGCATTCAATTCACGTTATAACATTCTGTGCGTCGGTGGCACAGTGGTTAGGACTCTCGCCGACCATGCACATGGTCCGGGGTTCGAGCCCACGCCGACGCACACCTGATATCTATGGTCGGCCTGTGAAATTTGGGCTACCGATATCCATGCTGAAAATTCCATGCTTGTACCAAAAATACGGTGTGGAATCAAGCTGTAACCAAAAATAAAAAATAAAATAATTTATTTTGACTATAAAAACACCCGTCTTATTTCCCATCTGATTGCATTTGATTGATAACACTCATATTATTATTATTTCTGAATGTACTTGATCTTATATTGATTTTATTCAAATGTCTAATCATCAATTCCACTCATGCATATAAATGAAGCAAGAAGGTTGTGTGAGTGACAATGAGCAGCAATAATTTTTGCTCGAAACGTGGTCATCAGTAAGTATTACTACTGTATAACACTGTGTGATTTATCAAAATAACTAATCTTATCTTTAATGGAGTTATACTCTACCACCACAGTGCCCAAGTTTTTTACTTATACCAAGTTTAATTTGACTTTGAAATTTTCAATCAGGATCATTATTGTACATTAGTGAACCTTGTACTATTATTATTACTATTATTGTTATTATTATTATTATTATATACTTCAGTTGATTCAAGTCTCATATATTAGAGTCCATTGTGTGAAAAAGTAGTAATTTCTTTGTATTCCTGGGTTTGGGGAGCTCCTGTTCGATTTCTTGGTAAGTTTCTCCACGTTAATGAACCATGAACGACAAGGTCTCTCAACTGACGAACTCTATGCGCGTTTGTCAATTCAGACGCTAGGTGAATCGGTCTTTTGACTCAGGTTTTATCCAAAAGCGTCCAGAGAACATTATCCTGTATGGTTATGAAGAGGTGGAACTGGGACTATAAGAAGCACAATAATTGAATATCTGCATATAAAGGAGATTTGTAGCTCAGATGGATGATTTTGGTCTAGTTGTATTCTCTGAGCTGGGTTGTTCACTTGCAAATGCAACGAAAGCCTTGGAAGTAAACCACCTTACTTCCACAGCTTCTTCCTTTAAAGACATCCATAAGGCGATAAATAACCCCCCTCCCAAATCGTTACATATCCGAATAATCTGTATTGCTGAAATTTTAACTATTCAAACAGAAAGGCCAGATCTTTGTGCACAAATAAAAAGTCTATTCAAGCACTCCTACTTTCATGATCTTAATTCATCCATGATAAGATAAGATAAGGTAAGCTTTATTCCAAATCAGTACTTGTGATACAGAATGGAATTCTCAGCATTTTACTACAATTTTGCATCAAGTTAGTACATTAACAATAAATATAGTTCTACATAGATTAAGGTTATCTCAGTCAGTTTTGGCAACAACATATTAGCATGTCGGTAGCAAAGCCAAAATTTAAACAGAGTGTTTGAAGGTGTTAGAAAAGTAAATACTACTAGCATATTTACTGGCGTAAGCGATAGCGAAATGGTCGAGGTATACAGAGTGTGAAAGAACGAACAAGAATGTTTTAAGTAGAGTTTGTAAGGAAGAGAGAAACAAAACAGCACATAACAAAAATAACTAGAGAAGGGAAAAAAAGGTAGAGAGAAAACGTTGTACCTGTAAATGATGTGACTTGGAAAGACAAGATCCATTGGTTCTACTGACTATTTAATAAGTTACAGGTTTCACGCCTAACGCTTTGTTTATCGCACAGAACTCGAGCTAGGTAGGGTATGGATGAGTTTTTGTACTTGCTAGCGCGGGCATATAGTTTCCTATATAGGCTTCTTGTTTTCCCTGAAGAGATACATGGGGAGAGTTGTGATTGTAGAGGGTGTTGTGAGTCAGATAAAATGGATTTGGCCCATTTTTCACATGAGTCCATGTGCCTGTCAACCAGAATATTAACAAGCTGGTTAAGTGTCATGTCTCTTACCCTGCTGACAACCTTTAACATCCTACGTAATAAGGTATAGTCTTTCTTCAGTAGCCAGCCCAGGAAAAACTAAGGGGGAACAATAGAGAATAATAGGCAGGATGCAAGAGTTAACGAATCGTAAGAGTAAGGGTTGGGTTGTTCCAGAATATCTTAACTTCTTGATGTAGAAGGTAAGACGGAATATTTTCTTGGAAATCGTCAAGATATGAGACGACCAGGAAAGATCAGAAGATAGAGTGACGCCTAGGTATTTAACATCCGACTTGGTTTCAATTTCAGTGCCATCTATGTTGCACACCTCGTGAGTGCTAACCAGTTTCTTTAGGTCAGATTTATGCCTAAGGGTGAAATTAACTGTTTGGCATTTGGAGGGGTTTAAGGTGAGACCGTTTTCCTTGGACCATAGGCTGATTTCTGATAAGAAGCCATTTAGTTTAGAGCAGTCACTTTGACATATGACAGGTAAAGATACAGTTAGGTCATGCTAAACTATTACAATTCCCACTCATATTTTAGCCCTACTTATTTCTCGTTTTCTTCTTCAGTTTGTACATCCTCCCTTGTTATGTCCACTGCTACCATTATTTTCAGGAGTTGGTTTATAGGTATTCTAATTGTTTCAAGTTAAACCACGGATGGATATCAGTTAGAGAACCATTGAAAACCAGTAGGGAGTACTGGAAAGCCAGTTTTGTCCTCCTAGTTTGTGATGCATCGACAGTACGCACCCATCACCGGGAGTCGAACCCAGGCCCTTCCCGTTACAAGACAAGCTCGTATACCACTCACCCACCGAGACCCGATTTAGTAGCCACTCCATCAATTCTAACTTCTACCAATTCATGATTTATAAGTGCGACTTGCACCATCCAATGTTATCGGTGGGAACGCCATCTTGACTCCCGACTGGATGAACCCCACTGGTCACGACTGTTCACTAGAACTCCAGGGAACTCCATCTAGCAGCAAGTCACTGGCGTTCTAATGATGATTCCCAAACTAGGATGAAACAGCTTTCCTTAATATTCCCTAGATTTCGATAGTTCTCTAACTGATATCAATTCGTGGTCGAACTCAAAATATATTTATTTATTTATTGGGAAAATTTCTTCCAAATCAAGACCAAAAGAAGAAACACCGTACTGTCTCTACTCGACGAATGAGAAATAGAATGGAAGTAGAAAACCCAACGCGTGAGACTGACTCTGAAAATACTGAAACCATTCAAAGAAATTTCAGACATCACAAAGAATATCATCTCAAAGCAGAAACATTTCTCACTGAATAGCGAATCCAAATTGTCTGAATAGGAATGCAACTTAAAACTTTCTATTGAGTCATATAAAAGAAGAAAAGGTGTTCAGAAAAGAGTTGCTCTTTTCGGCGATATTATTTTCAAGCTGTACAAACAGAACACCCGGTGAACCTATAAAATAACTTCAAAATGTTCTATAGAATACGTGGGAATCTTGCTAAAGGGAGTACTAATCAAAATTCTTCAAACCACAGAAGCAATGGCAATTCACACAATGAAACCTCAACACTGCACGCAGCAAAGGAAGTTTGTTCAGTTCATTAAATCTACAATGAACCTGATCTATCTTAACACCAAGTTTATAATTTTTGTTTCGTCTCTTTTTCACTTGTTTGTTTCTAGATTGTATGATATTTCCTTCTCTCTCACCCCTTAGTAAATCTCTACCTCCCTTTTATTACCAATGTTGTTAAATTGGCTTTTTTTCAGCTTTAATTTTAGTTCAGCTCTACTCAATCGAGTCAGTTAGATAACGTCACTCGACTTGCTAATTTAATCTTATTTTAGTTTCTAACCCATTAACGAAATTTGTTATCTAAAATTTACAATATATATATACTATTAACACGCCCTGACAAGGGTACAGGTGTTGTTATTATGGATCACAAAGATTATATCGATAAAATGTCATGTCTACTTTCAGACAGCAGTAAATTCTCGAAACCGAACGAGAAAAACAAGACGGAATTAATTGAGAAACAACTTACCGATACTTTAAAGAGAATGAAGAACAATCATCTCATTCGTGAAGAATTATACGAAAAGATCAGACCAACAGGATCTCTAATACCAAGACTGTATGGTCTACCGAAAATACACAAAGCTGGAGTTCCACTTCGCCCTATCTTGGATATGTCTGGATCGCCCTATCATCCAGTAGCTGGGTGGTTAGCTGAAATCCTCGAACCAGTCAGGGGGCAACTATCTAATCATTCCCTTCGGGACACCTTCCAATTTGTTGAATGTATACAGGATATAAATGCGTCGAATAAACAAATGTTGTCTTTGGATGTAGAATCCTTATTTACGAACGTTCCACTGACAGAGACCATATGTTTTATATGCAAATATATTGAAGACAACAAATTGAACATAGGGATACCTACTACAGATCTTAAAGAACTACTTTTGAGATGTACATTGAATGTACAGTTTACTTTCAATGAAACAATCTACAGGCAGAAGGATGGTATTGCGATGGGTTCTCCCTTGGGTCCTCTCCTTGCAGACGTTTTTATGTCCAGTCTAGAAAATGGTTCCCTGAAGCCTATGATCCAAAGCTTTCAAATATATAAAAGGTATGTAGATGACACCTTTATTATTTGTAATATTGATTGTAACCTGAATAATATATTAAATGTATTTAATGAGTGCCATCCTGCGATAAAATTCACACTCGAAATGGAGAACGAGTCTAGCATTCATTTCCTCGATGTGAACTTATCAAGAAGGACCGATGGAACTCTGAAGAGATCGATTTATCGTAGGCTGTTATGGAATGGTCAACTGACAAATTTCTATAGCTGGGTACCTATTGGTCGAAAACGAAACCTGGTCCGGTCGCTTGCCACTCGTATTCGGCGCATATGTAGCACTGATACTGTGGAAGATGAGTTATACACTTTGAGGAAAATCCTAATGGAAAATGGATTTCCACCACGTTTTATAGATAAGAATATACATTCAAAGCCTACAAAACGTGACTTATCAACCGCTCCCAAGAAAATACTTTACATGAGCTTAGAATTCAAAGGGGACTTAGCTTCCGATATCATGAAACGAAGGATATCACAGTCCCTGAAAAGAACATTCCCTGCTGCCTCTCTGAGAATAGCTTTTACTAGCCGACCATTATTGTTCAATAACCTGAAGGACAAGATCCCAATGTTGACCAACTCTATGTGCGTTTATCAATTCACCTGCTCTTGTGGAGCTAGGTATATCGGTCGTTCGACTCGAGTTTTGTCCAAGAGGGTGCAAGAACATTATCCTGCATGGCTACGAAAAGGTGGAAGTGGAGCAATAAGAAGCGCGATCATAGAACATCTGGTCGAAAATGATCACCCTATCTCTATAGCCTCCGCCTTTAAAGTCATCTACAAGGCAAAGAGCAATCTACCTAAATCCCTACGTACCCGACTCATCTGTATTGCTGAAGCTTTGGCTATCGAAACAGAAAAGCCAGATCTCTGTGTACAGAAAAAGTTCGTTCAACCCCTCCAACTTTCATGGTCTTAATCCCTCTATGCTAAAATATGATAATCCCCAATCATATTTTAGCTCTACCAATTTTTCATTTTGTCTATTCAATTTGTATACTCTTCCTTATTAAGTCAATTGTTATTATTACTATTCTCACTTTGAACTGTCCCCGGTATTATTTCACTTGTTCCACTTGTCATTCTAAATCAATTCTTTTTTACAACGATAAATTCTATGCTATTAAATTTCACACAATATTACGTAACGTTTTTGTTTTATTCGATTTGCCTACTAATCCTATAATTGCACATCCTTTTTCAAGTTCTATCCCTCCTATGAATTATTCTATATATGACATTAATCTGCTTTGCCACTTGACATTTAACTACGATTATAATCACAAACATTTTAGTTTTAATTGAACTTCATATGATTATTATTATTATTTTATGCATTCACACCTAAGATTCAATTCCCTCACCGGATATAACTTCTGATAAACCATATATATACGACTGTACAGCTTGATGATAAATTCGTTGAAAAGAGTCTCTTCGCTGAATCACTTGTTTTGATTTTCTAAATATATATATATATATATATATATATATATATATATATATATATATATATATATATAAATTGTGATATCGCTGAAAAGAGAAACTCTTCGCTGAAGGCCTTTTCTTTTATCTGGATAGAAATGATGGATTCATACACAGTTTGACCTAGCTCCAACATCCTCATGTCCATCCAAACATGCATATCATGGAAAATCTACCCTGCTTGTTTATACAGGGGAGAAAATAGATACCAGCTCGACTTTATTCTGGAATACTTGATCAATACCTGAACAAACCAAACTTAGAGTCATCCAAAAAGTACGCAGAAATCTTTCCAAAATAGTACAAATTAAACTTTATTAAACTTCAGAAGAGACATCAATCTACATACTAAATCTTAAGCTCTGAATATAGAAGAAGCTTTTTCAGTCATCGAATCTATAAATGTCGAAGTGATCGACGGTTTGACTCAGTTGAGAGTTTTCAGGCTTTACGATAAAACAATTAAACCAACAGTGGACCCAGTGATGATCCCACTGTAATGCCATCTATCTGTCTTAAAATCTCATTACTGATAGTTAACTGAATATTCAACGTGCATCTTAATAAAAGTTCTTTTGTGGTAAATTGTTGACAACTCTATGCCTAAACTATGTGCGTCAATACAATTGCGTAAATATAGCAAACAGTTTCCCTGAGACGTATATCAGTAAGTAGCGAAGTCACATATAATGCGAACATGAGAAGTATAACTTATCTCACCACTTGATCTGTAATTTCTATCAATCTTCATTTTCAATCTAATTATTTTTCTCCTTTCCCATTGGTACATTTATACTCCTCATATAACATGGATTTTAATTTGACCCTCTTTCAAATTTAGTTGAGTTCTAGTCAAATTATCACTCCATTTACTTACTCAACTTTAGTTTCTACCGGATTATTGATTTCTGTATTAAGTATTGGTTATCTTAAACTTACTTACTACATCAATGACTCACCTTTGTGGTTTACACACTTTGAAGAGATGAAACCTGATCACAGTTCGCTTTAGCAACCAAGCTTATTCAGATCACAATATGTGGTCTGTTTAGTACCTACCATAAACAGCAATCGAGAAAGTAAGCATAAACGCGTAAAACCACATATATACTACCGATTGGTTGAGATGAATAGTAGTGTTTGCTAGACAGTCAGATCGTGGTGATTTAAACACCAGTGAACGGCCGTTTCCCTGGTTTGCGAACGAGCTTATCAGCGGTTTACCAGATTTCTGACTCGGTCTATATAATCCAATCATCAGTTCAAACCACCCGATTTGTGGCAAGCCACCTAAATTAACTGGTAATAATTTCTCAAGTATTGGTTTGTAGAGATTTGATTGATTGGCTGAAGGATTTCATAATGATCTGACACTGGTTAGAGAACCATTGGAAAACCAACTGGTAGTACTGGACAGCTATTTCCCCCTGGTTCAGGACTCTTCATCAGTACACACCCACCGGGGTTTTAACCCAGGGCCTTCTAATTACAAGGCCGACAAGCTCGTAGACAATTAAGCCACTAGGATCCGATCTAATGGCCCATGAATTCTAAATTCTGTCTATTCACGACATAGCGCGACCACTAGCCAATATCTTCGGCGAGTATTTGTCCTCACACCCAACTTGGTGCATCCTACTGGTCACGACTTCCCACTTCCTGAACCACAGTGGGTGCGTATTGTGAAGAGTCCCAAACTAGGACGAAACAGCTGTCCAGTACTACCAGTTGGTTTTCCAATGGTTCTCTAACTAACTAATGTCAGCTCATGATGAAATTCTATAACCAATAATTACTCAATTGTGCATTGTTTTATACAAATATGATCGCTTTCTTGATTATCAAATAAAGCAACAAACAGATGGAGTTCTCAAGGAAACGGTAGGGAAGTCTCAGCTCCTGGGGCTATGTACACTGAAAAGTGCAAATTAATCTGCCTACGGTGAATTTGATTGCCACTTGCCTTATTCTGTCAGCTGTTATTCTGCCACAATAAAGAGAAATTAATATACGGAATTATTGAATTTCTACTCCCCTCTGTCCTACTCATAATCGTGATTTTTCGAAGAATTGATTCTTTCGTCTGTCTATCCATCGATCTATCTAACTGCCCGTCTACGAGCCTGTTTGTCTATCTCATTAATTTTTATAGCGTAGAGATTTCATCAGATTGCATAGTATTTTTTTATTTTGATCTTATCATTACTATTTTTTTAAAGTTATGTTATGTTATTTATAGAATCAACTTAATTTGGAAACCATAAAATGTTGTTTAAAATGGGTACATTTCATTCATTGTCATTCTGGCGTGTTATAAAAAGGATTTCGAACAAATTACAGACTTAGTATACAATTGGTGGATGGTGGCTAGCAGTGGAATCCAGGATGCGCATTTCGTCCTATTGGGGACTCGTCAGCTGGATGTACCTGCATTTCTCAGTGAGTGATGATGTTCCCACCGAGGCTCGAACCCAGTACCCATAGTTTCGAACGCCAAAGCGTTATCCACTAGACCACTTGGGCCACAAGAAGCCGACATGTCAACCTGAGACCGAGCACTTCAGTCCAATCAATCGATGGGAAAATCAAAAATTCAATTCAATAAATTACAGACTTTTGTCAACAACTGCCCACTTCGTTGGCTGGCTCCATACTGAAGGTCAAATGGCCGGTGAGCAAGAAAGAATTAGCAACAAGAAACTCTGCATTGGAACAAATCATCCAAGAAAAGCCGATTGCTCAACAAATATGTAGGAGAAAGTGGAGATGGATGGGACACACGCGACTGAGGAGGTCGTTGAATGACGCCGCGCTCATTGCAGGCTATCGCTCGAGTGAAATCTCAATCGGAGGTGACGAGTGAGTCATCGGTGCGAGGGTGACATGGGGGAGATCGTATGGCGAACAGGAGATAAGAGAATAAGGGCAATCGTGGAGTTAGCTAGGTGAGGAGGACGTCAGAAAGTAGAAGAAATTGGAGATGAGTTGTCGAAGGCCTATGATGTTCTACTTGTAACCTTAGTGTGTAATAATAAATAAAATAAGTATCATTTATACGGGTAATAGAAAAATAATAAAAACCTTTTGTGTAATGATAATTGTATAAACCAAACTGAGAGTGGTTGGCGTAGTGGTAAGACGTTTGCCAAACAGTCTACGAAAACTTGGGATTCGATGTCCAGGTGATACACTTCTAAACCCTGAGTCTAACCGGTAGTGAGGCTAATAAAGAGGAAAGGTTTGGTGTGAGACTAGCAACAACCCACTGGTAATAAACAGTACCATTGCCACTACAGCTTCAAAACTCAAACTTAAAGCCCTACTACGTTCCACTCGGAAAAAATGGGAATTGACACAACTGAACTCATCAATCAGTACATTGTTTATATTGAAATGAGTCAGGAAAATGTATAACTCTGTCAGGTAAGTCATATATTCACCGCCTTTATATGGTCGGAGTGTTACTCATACAAATGAGAACGTGAATACTAAAATTTGGCGTTTACAACTGAACTGTTGGATCTGCAGGTCTGCTGTCTAGGAGAGCTGTAAAACACTGGTGTTGTAACGGAGTGTTAGTAATGTGTTTGGCTGTTGTCTAACTTGATCAAAGTGACCCTCTAGTCAAGACACTAAAGCCAATTGATCACTTCAAAATAAGCCCCCCACACTAAGAAAGACACATAGAGGTCAGATTTTACTGAGGGATCTGCTACAATAACAAATTTACTATTCACCATACAGGGTAGATTATATCCCTTACACATCAACAGAAATTTAGACTATAGATAGAGAATCACTATCTGATCGATTGCATCAAACATGACTTTACGGGTAACACTTCCACTTTTCAATAGATCTTCAACTGGAGGACCACTGGAAGATATAATTAGGTCTAACTATGATAAATCCCCAACGAAATATTGTGGGATCTTTGTTTGATGCACGGTTGACTTTAACGTTAAAAGTAACAAAGTCAATATACTAGGTGTACATGGGGCTCTAGAATCCGAGAGAATCCAATGGAAACCATAGGAACAACGTAACTCCTCGCACTACTCCACTAGCGCCTTGTGTACCAGATTTGAAGTCAAAGACTAGAAGGAATGGCTCCTCGAAACAACAACCACCACTAGAGACTTCACGCTAGTTACTAGTAGTTACTAGTCCTACAGGAGGTCAATCACGAGCCTGAATAGTTCAGTGGTAAGGTCTATGACTGCAACACTCACTGGGTGACGCGGGCTCGAATCTCAGAATGGACATGAGTTCCTCTTAAGGCAGTTCCAGATACTCCTTGCTGACTGCTGAGTACCAATTAGCACGAAAACTAGGTCGAAGGCCTCCTTTGGCCAATTGCCTCCATTCATCTAATTTGTGGTTGTGTGTGGCACATCTTTTGTAGTCCGGAATGTACCAAGTTGGTGTTTCGATATACGGTAAATATCATGTGTAGCTCAGAAGGATGTTTCCTTCTTAATGTTTTTTCCTGTATTCTCCTACATAAAAGGGTTTATTTTGAAAGAGTAGAGTTGCAGAATAGAAATCCTTACCTTTGTGACCTTGAAAATGGCCTTCGGATGAAACCGAGTATTCTCATACTGTTCTGATTATTATTATTATCTTCTCCTTTAGTTCCTAGAGAAACATATGGCTTCAGCCTCACGTCTCCATCGCCTTCGGTTCTCACCTTTCTAAACGTTTTCACCTGGCTCCAAGTCTGCCCACATGTTCTCGTCTCCTCTTGACATCACCTCTTCCATGTCACCCCCTAAATGACGACCAACTCGCCGCTTCCCATTCGAGTTCCACTAGACCGATGGCCTGGTGTGTGATGTCACTCACCTGATGGTTTGTTTTCTCGGAGTATGACCAATCCACCTCCATTCTTTAGTGCATATTTGTTGCACAGTCAGTTCCTGATGGGTTGGTTCGCTTCCAGAGATCCCTTTCTGTTGCTAATCTTTTGTAACCGGC